AGGGAAGCAGAAAATGCATCGTGGCACAATTTGTGCTGCCAACCGAAATGGATTTCTTCAGCGTTTCGCTATTTCGATGTTTATTTATGGTAATAATATTGCCCTTGTTAAACGAGTTTTGTTACAATAAAATTTTGATGAATTTTCTTTATTGTGGTAATACCTCTGTCTTACAACAAAGACATTTGCGTATTTCTAAAATATATATAACGAAAACGAACTTCGTTCGCTTTATGTTACGAAACTTGGTTAGAAGTTCTTTAGCCACCCTCGGGCGTATATACAATACATACATTCCTACGCAAAAGAAGTTGAATCTACTCTAACTATGAATGGCAAGACACCTTTTCAGTACCTTTTTCTTTTTTATTTCAGTGCCACGCTAAGGAATTTGTTTTTTAATTTTCGCCATTTCTCGCCTATGTATCCCTAATTTTGTCCAACTGTCTTATTACGATTTGCTTGGCCATTCAAAGAGCGCGTATTGGAATTGTGTTTTCTCATGGCAAAATTAGTTACCATCATCAATAAAGATAGTAATTTCTAACATTGGAAAGCGTTCTTCAAATTTAAGTTGCTTTCTTCAATTATCACCTTCTAACCTATTGCAATTAGATTTACAAGGTCGTGTTCTAATAGCGAGTATGTTTTTCATTCATTACATCTGTGGCATTAAATTTAAACGAGTTATTGAACCTTATGTTTATTGATTTTTGAATTAGCTTAAACATTTTTGCTCCAACTGGTGCCGAGTATGGGCAACATATAAAGTGCCCTCCGACGATCAGTTTGTAATTGGGCATACTTGGCAGGCGAAAGATTCCAACTAGTATTGATTTCCAGCGGATAACTTGTATTTAGAAAGCGATTCTTTTTTAACGAAGTATGCTATCGACTGGAAGTTTGTTACCTTATCCATAGTCTGAAAAGGTATTTGTCCATATTGTGCATCTTATTCTGAATTTTCTAGCTAATATCAACGAAATACCAACCAACTGGTTTTGACAACATTTTTGTTCGTGATTTAACATGGTATTCGATTTGATGGGTGTGCCATGTATAAACAACAGTTCTGCAATTCACACTAACAACTGGATCCTGATTCGTACACAAAATTGATCTGAAAAGTAATTTTGTGGTGGTAAATACAAGTTTTTTACCAGTATACTATATTAGTAATTTCGGTGTGCCATTGACGAAGCTGTGTTGTTTTTATCAAGTACTGTATCCGCCACATACACCACAGTGTTTTCATTCGGATGTTACACTTCCTATTTCACGCAAGTCTTATGCAGATTGTCTTCAACAAGTGACGTCGGCTTCGCATTAATTCATGGTGGATTTTTTACAAAGGAAATCATATTTTTGTGGGTATAGTTTAAGTATTACAAATTTGAATATTTAAATGTATTATTATCACATCATCATTTATATTTTTGTATGATCTTGTATCAAAGAGAATTTGCTGCATAGTACGGTGTCTTGAATTTATACGCATAAATATGTACGAATCTGACGTAAGCATTTGGCAAAGTTGTTTCGGAGTGGTGCTGTAAAACAAACGATTAATCTACTGATCCAAATGAGTTAATTCATCATAACATACTCATGTGACTTTAAAACCTTATTACCGTCTTGTACTAATTAATATTGTTGGACAAATTGTTTCGGAATATCGGATAATGGCGATTATCTCATAAAACTTTAACCAATTAATCGCTGACCGTTGATTTTATAATCCTATCTGCAATTATTACACATAAATTGTAAATTTGTAACTCGAGACCATAGTTTAATCACATGCTTAAATTAATCTTACGCGAATCAAGATATATTTCGTCTGGTAAATCTAGTTATTCTTTCTTGATCCGTCAGTGAAGTAAGCTTTGGCACGCGGTGTCCGTATAATTCGGTTTGATGTTACACGTTCGAGTGATGTGATGTTTTATTGGAAACCTTAATTCTGGCGAAGTCGAATATTCGAATAATAAAAAAAAAATAAGAAAAATTTGAAAACAATTACCGTACTTCCCTGCATTACATGATATCATTATTCTGCTGTCAACTCAGGATGAATATTTACATATAAAAATAATTATTTTTCGGGAACATTGGTCTTCTTCATAATTATGCTTAAGGACATCACTACGGTACGTATGCCACACATGCTTGTCGGACAAGCTTGGTTCTCTCTTGCAACCAAGATCATACACGTGGCGATTTGCCTTTCAAACTGGCCTTTATACCTGAACCTAAATTATTTTTATGAGTGATGCTATCGATTTTGATAAAGATTCAAAAGACGTCACAACCGGATTCTGATCCGTGTCAGTATATTGTGAAAGTGGTTCTGAGTGTTTTTATTTGGGATTTAATACGAAACGCCAAAGGATTTCAAGCGTTGGGGGATATAGTGCTTCCTCTCACCAACACCACCAGGCGCGATTTTCTTTAACAATTTCGCACTGTTGTTGTGTGGTACGAATAGTCACTGTGTGTCATCCGACATGTACGTGCCCCGCTGCTCCGATTTGAGTGTCAGAACAATGCACTATAAAACTGATGTAAATAATATTTGATTTAAGAGTCTTGCTGTAAAATACATTTCTGAAACGTTACAGAAACAGACCTCCGTCAAACGAAACGTTACACAAATACATTTGTGTTAGTCGGCAGCAAGATTCTTGAATCAAATAGAATTGTCACCTTTATGCTTGCTACAGCATCAACTTGTGTTATACGCATAAGGATCCACTTGCGATAAGGCATATAGCCAAGGAAATGTAGTTAGTCTCGAGTATCTTGACCCGATAGATATAAATAATGTTTTTTACAGCGTCCATACTATATACTAATTTGTTTTTCTGTTATTCATATCGAGATCCGTTGGGAGCTTGTGGCCGTTGTGGGTCTCCGTCCATTCTGTGCTTTGGTTGCGCGAAGCAAACTGGTTCTGCAAATTTTCACTTTATTATTTCTTAACGCTAACTTTGTATGTATATATATAGGTATACTCTTCGGCCGTGAATGAATTATTTGATATGGACTTGATTATATACCGTGAACTATATTGAAAATTTTAACGGAGAAAATAAATTTTTCTCAAAAGAGATCAATCGTATTACCATGGCAAGTTTACCCGTTATAATAAAACAGTAATAACAAAGAAAACCCAAATTATCGATCCCCGTCCCGGAGACAGAATTGTTAAATTTCCGCTTAAGCTGTTTTCGGTATGAGCGATTATTAATGTTTTGGGTAATGTCATCACAAATTTCATGTTGATTTAACAATCCTCTAATGACGTTAAAACGTTGCCATTGTTGTTATTTCTGGCACGTACAGGTGTGTTGAGCCTGTCGTTAGAAGTGGCCAGTTTCCAAGTACTATGGTACTACTATATTGGCAGATATCGTGGTATTGTTTTCATAGCAGAAGCACTGTTCGCCGAGAAAACACTGCTTAAAATCGAAAAAAAAAAATAATCTGATTTTATAGTAAACCAATCATACTGTTGAAAGTGCATATCACGGTTAAGCGTCTAAAAACATAAAAGAATTTCCCGATCTTTTTCAATTTAGATCTTCCCTATAGTGCTCGAGTCTACAAACTATTTTGCATCTTAATAACTAATATGATATTTAGAGTCGAAGCTTTAGACTATTTTATTTAGATTTGTTTCGAAATGACGCTAGCAAGCCAATTTTACTTCGGAATCATAAACATACCGGCTTATTTTTTCTTTTTTTTTTACACATGAGAAAATACCTGAGTGTAGATAGATATAGAAGTACCTGAAATTTTCGATTTCTTTCAAAACCTATTTATTCCCAAATTTTGCCTTATCAGACTTGTCCACTTAATCGTGTTATTTAAACGCGTTTCTCATTTTTCACCGTTTATATGAAAAGATGACATTAATAATATGTCTTTCGTTTCTACATCACACGCAACAATAATAACGACCGAAAATCGTCATGAGGGACTTTTCTGTTTCAAAGCTAGATATCAGTGTGTTTACACACTTACCGGAATAGCAAATTTATTTTCAACCCGTAAACTCTAATGCCATAGCATATGTAATTTTCTAATATTGATGATGGTTCTCGAGTAGATAGCAAGTTAGCTATCCATAATGTATGAGACGAGAATGCCATTCTTTTAACGAATAACCTACGACCGACCACGATGTGAACTTCAGGCCAGTGTTCACTCCAATTGGACAATTTGATCCGTAATCAAATTGGGAACACTTGTTGAAAAATCGATGCATTTGTAATATCTCCGCATTTATGATTGGTCATTTATAGAATAATGATGCGAAATGACTTAAGCACCATGCATGCTTGATCATGTACTTAACCAATGCTATAATTTGCCATTTACTGGTGAATTTTAAAGAAGTATTTTTTGATAATAGCAAATTATGTGAGCATCTTTCAACGTCTTTCTAAATTAATTCATAATTTGATGGTTTGCATTATGCATGTGCAAACTGGCGTTTCGACGCATCATAATCGCATCAATTTTGCACTCAAATTTCTATCTATCATGGTGCCACTGACCTTGTAATTTCACGTAAATTCTAGTTCATGTATCGTGTGTACTTCATCTCTCGAACCTGTTAAGTTCCGACGTTGTTGTCATATATAAATTAATCAAATCCATGTGACCTGGCTTTAATCACCAAAATAATTGATTGTGGGCTACAGCATACATTTTGAATGTATTTAAAAATCAAAGTATTAATGCACCGTTATCTAATTCAGTAATAGAGATTGTAGCTTTGCAACTGGTATTGCTTATGTGTTAAACCTAAATATAGTTTCGATAAAGTAGAAATTGATTTGGATTTCTGGACGTACGTATCACCCAAAGTGTGACTATTTGTCACTTGGCTTTGGCTGTCACCAGATGTATTGAGCTGCCATGGGAAGTCCTTGATGATGAAATTAGATAAGAATGCTTTTATTAAATTTTTATTTTTTCTATTTTCGCAGAATCTACAAGAGAGAAGTCCGGTCGATACAATGCATATGGGAAGCTTAGAATCGCAATTATATGACATTCTGAGATCAGAAAACGGCGTAGGAGGAACACCACCTTTTGCAAGAAATGGTAAGTTAAGATTCCAGCAGAATCTATCCCTTTACAAGCAGGAGTGTTTCTTGTCGGTATAACAGTCAGCCATTACAGCCATTTCAAAAAAATGCTTGGAAGAATTAGCCAATCGAAATTTTTTTGAGGTTTATGTTAACGACGGCTTTATGTCAAGTTTTGCGAGGTCGGATTCGACTCCGAAACGAAATTATTTACACATTCATTTCATCATAAGCCGATGCTGGCCAGTACATTGTGGTACAATATTCATAAAGTGGGATTTATGTGTAGGATTGTTCGAACGATTTACGAACTATTTTCACTTTGCTAGTGAATTTATACTATAATACTAAATTATAAGAAAGAAAGAAAATAATCATTCTCCCAACGTTACCAGCTGTGCGTTTCGGTAAGAGTCTATGATGTCCCTCCTGTCTTTTGTAGTTCTATTTCTAATCATCCGTGATGGTATGTCAGCCTGAAAGGTCATCGACATATCCGTCATGCCTATCTATGTAACTTAATTATGGTAATACGTGGTAGCCAACACCCGATTTTGAATTTTACCTGGCAGATAGTTGGTTAAGACTTATCTGATTGATCTTATGTTATACCGATTTGAACTGGGAGGAGTCTAGTCAAATTACTTGCGACAAATACTACATTACAAGTGGCAAATCAGATTGGACTATAGTTGGGGTGCACCGACATGTTCAATATTAATATCCATCGGTTTATACTGATAACCGATATAAATGGCAGGATTATCCAACGATCCAACAAGTGCTGCACGATTCGTATATAGCCGTGTTCGCCTTGTGACTACTTTGTACTTTGACTGACATAATATTTGTTAGAAGGTCCCTCTGTAAAAAACCATCAATTTAGTCGGCTACACGATTTTAATTCTTATATCCGTGTGTAGTCCAAAATCAGCTCTTACGCAACATTCGCCTTTATCTCTTTGTCATCAAACACCAACATTTCTGAAATTTACCACCCATTTTAAATCACCATTCTTGCTATGTATAGGAATTTTCCCCAGACCACATCATAAACAACACAATCCGCCAGTCTGCGTTCTCGTCGTTGTATTGCCGAAGGCTAAATTTTCATGGATAAGCTTATTCTTATCCAGTTACGAACTATGTGCTATATTTTAGCCTCGTTTACTTTTAAATTAACAAAGTCAATTTCCGTGTTACCTCGAATATATTTCCCAAACAGTTCAACACAGTAATTTTTTCAAGTCACACCGGAACATGGAATGTTGGACACACCCATTGGGAGGGACACGTCTGGTCAATTCAATTATCCATTTTTCATTCTTTTATACTCTAGACTTGAAAAATGGGTAAATTTTATTTTGCTTAGATAATTACGCACAACCTCTTTTGAGAGCCTGTCTTTGGAAGCCTGTCATTTTATGTGATGTGTACCATGTTAATATTCCGCACTCAAAATCGCTTGAACATTCCATTTCTGGCAGTAAACAATATACGTTAAATTCAAACTTCGCCAAATCTCGCTGTATTAGTTATAGAAACGAATTGACCAGTCGAACACAATGAAATCATTGTTTCATTCTTTAAAGATATTCGTTCATCTTGAAATTCCCTCGTGATGTGACAATGCGATGAGTTTTTTTCTGTCTTGTTTGTTGCGATCATTACAGACGCTTTTTTGATATGAGATATGCTTTTTCTTGCCGCGTTATTCCAAAAATTTGAATTAGAGAACGCTTCATGGTTTGTGGTGATTTATGCAACCAGCCTCTCTTCAGTTTCAAAATGGCTTTTTTTAAATTTGATGTAAGGTTATTCGTCACGGAATAACCTTAATTGGATATAAATTGATTATTTATGCAAATATAAGATAAACCATATGGACCATTCGTTGGGTTTGGATATAAGGCGGGCCACGAATGCCAGAATGAGTTGTTGTGCGTTATTATAATAATACTGGACAATCCTTTTAAAAAATATTTTACGAATCCACACCCATTTTCGTGATTATATCAAGCTCGCTCTCATTGAGGGGCAAGTGCCCATCTCAGAAATTTTCTAACTGATTTATCCTTGAATAATGATAAAATGCGAATACTACCGCGATACGGATGCCTTCCAACGGCTTCTATTATTGAGATATTGCCCTCCGTAATTATATTTTTCATTATTCAAATTGCCAGTGTGGTATACAATTAAGGTAATTTACATTTCTACGTCGCCGTTTATACCTATCATCGTATCGTATAATTGCGATCTATTGAAAAATTGTCGTTTTCTCTTGTTTCGTAATACGCGATTTTCATAGTATTGCGTTTATTATATAAAAGAAGTAACATTATATATACTTTATAGTTTTACTCAAGTCAAGTTTCTTATCTGGTGCCATATTACAAGATTATCTTAAGGTCAGCGTCGTTTCGTTTATTTTTTTTCATTTTTTTTCGAACCTTTACAAAGAAAAACAGCACTATACGTTTCCTCCATACTGCTGAAAATCACCTCACTCGATTCGAATATGTAGAGTTTGAGATTTGATAAAAAACCGAGCTTTGCGAATGTGTGTGTAATCAAATTTGCTATGGCGAATTTATTTTCGAATGGCGATACTCTCTGTGGTTACTACTGTAGTCCAGACTACAGGCCAAAACACATATCACCGTTGGATCATATGTACTTCAGCCTATAATTTACCAAGTCTTGTTTCTACAGTATAACCTGCTTATTATTAACGTCAACGATCCTGCTTTGCCGTTGCTACGTTATATTAGTTTCTTCATTAACACGGAAACAAGGACATACAACCCGTCCCTAGCGTTAATGTACACTATGTTTTTGAATGACATTACTCATATTGTGTAGCTGCCCTTGATATCAAGCCTGCTGTCTATATTGCAGCCCATTAAGCCATTGAGGGGAGATTATTCAAATAGCGATCAGAGCAATACATTAAAACAGATTAAAATCTTGGAATGAGTAAATACTTTCAAGCGTACAAATGGAATACAATATTCTAATCGATTCGATATTAATTGTAAGAATAAATGATAAGTTATCAATTTTAGCTATTGAAGCCTAGCAGTATGTCATGAAGCACCTCCATTTATTTCCTGAGAAAATGTAAAATATGAAAAAAATTCAATTTATTAACTGTCTATTTCAAGCTTTCTTGCATTTCCAAATGAGAATATAAATTAATTTCGTTATATTCTTTGTTAAAAAGGACTCATTTTTTGAGTATATTCGAGATTCTGTTTTCGGAAATTTTATTTCTGGATGTATACGTAATAGTAGATTATTAGGTTTTGGGCATCCTTGAATCTCGAAGCTATATAAAACATGCCTTCTTGGGCACCATGTGCACTCCTTGATAATTTTTGTGGGGCTCCTGAAGTATGCGAACCAAGATGGCGGACATAGGAATGTAATATGTGTACTAGGTTAGGGTTAGGCCATAATTTTAGGTATAAATACTACGGGAGACTCTTGGCTAGTCTTCGAACTGATAATAGGACTAAAATAAGGAAAATTGGAAAAAAAATTATCGCTTAACCCTAACCTGTTACCCATGTTACGTTCCGATGTCCGCCATCTTGGTTCGCATACTTCGGGAGCACCATTTTTGTTAACCAATAGTGTTATTGTTAATGTGTTGTATCACTTTATTATGCGTGTTGCGTAACAACTCCTAAATTACCTCACAATACAAAACGTCGTGCCAACGAGAGTCATCTGTCCGTGACCTAAATGTGCTATAATTTGACCTATTCCTATTCCTTATAATGAATATTAATAACGTCTCTCAGAATAACCTGCCTTTAGAACGGATAATGTTTTATTAAATGGAGGTCGGCTTGGCTTTTAATGTGGTGTATTGTGGTCGTTAATGGTGTTGGTAATACCGTGGCTTTGTTTATTACGTTGATACGTAAAATCGAGCAATGGGGGCATTATTCACGCAAAAGTCGTTTTTAAGAATTCGTCCCGTAAAGTGTCGAAATTAGATTTTTGGGAACCAGGGAAGTGCATTTTTTAAGTATTTAGTAATGTTTGAAGTGTTTTTTGAGCCAGAAATTATTCAACTTTCCGAATATACAGCGCTTGAAATGAAAATTTAATCCTAACCGAGTCGAAGAAATGTGATTTATTTATTTAATTATTGTTTTGTGGTTTGCATTCTAGTGCGATTTACGTCTTTGACTGTATTGTTCGAAATCCAACGCCTCCCAGCTATTTTATAATTTTCGCGATATCACATATTATTATAATAGTGTGTTAATAAACAAGTGAGAAACCACGGAAGTTGCCTATGCCTATCACTGCCAGAGTTACTTCACATAAAGCCATTCAAATCGGTGGTTCTCAACCTTTTTTTTTCTTCCATATTCAGCGTCAAAAGAAAGCTTAGGCCCATAAAATTTTTAGTATCATAAAATGATTTTTTTATCAACTTAAACAAACAATACCAGTGTCAATACCCAACCTAATCCTTGTGTCTAATATCAGCTTGTCAAGTTGAACTCCAGACCTAGAGTACATATTTCAACTACGGTGTATATTTTTCCTAGGACCTACTGCGGCCCAACGAAAGCTCGAGGCGCATTTCCTAAATCTCTTAAACCACCTTGAGATACTTAGATTTAAAACATATTCCTTTGTTTTTGATACTGTTTGTGATGCACAAATTCCGGTTTAACAGATGTCCTTATTAAAATCGATGCTGTATATGCTGTATATTTACCGTAATGATGAATTTTAATATGATAACTGTGGATGTAGATGGCTTGTTTTTTGTTAAGAATTTGCTAAATTCTAAACATTGATTTCTAATAAATTTTGACCTTTTTAGCAGGTTGTCGTTGTTTATCGACCCGTGATATAGACCGCTTCGTAAATTGAGACTCGCTGATTCACCATATGTAAATAGTAGCAAATAGTGATCGTATTCACAACACTCTAGTTAATAGGATCCCCATTATAGATGGAAATTTGTTAATGAAATCGTAAAATTAC